ACTCAGACTTATCTTTAGAAAAAATATAATCACAACTAAGGCCTAGTTGCAGTCTTAAAAACACCTTGATGTTCAAACTCAGACTTAGGCTACGTTCTAGATGTCGACTGGAAGCTCAGACGGGGAGCTCAGACTGTGGCTTAGATCGTAATAAGACTCATATTCAGTAGGAAGCTTAATAATGGTTTAGACCAAAATCAAGTTCCTAAACTAACCCGCACTAAGATTTAGATTCAGAAACACAAGGCTGAGTCGGGAGGCGTGGATTCATCCAACACATACATATTTATTATGAAATTCAGGCCAAAATTAATACGAAGTATTTGACTCAGACTCAAACTGGCTCGGAGTCGTATCAAAATTAAATCTCTCCTTTAGGGAGGTTCATAGTTACAGTTAAATATGCCTGTGTCCCTGAATACAACTCAAACACAAAAAATACGATACAAAAATATCAAATTCCTACCGGGACTCAGAACAAAATATTATTGAACTTCCTGCATGCACGCAAGCTCTCGTGCGTGGGAATACACGCAACTTAAATGTGCCGTTAACTGTTGTTGACATGTGATGTGATATATTGCCAGAAAGTTGGACGCGCATTAAGGCTATTTGAGTTTGGGTATAGGTACACGAGCATCATGCAAGCAACCAACTCAGTACTGAAAATCAGTGATTTTTTGCTTTTGTTGTTTTAGTTGTTGTGGCTGTTGTTAGTTCGATTATATTAACTAATAGTAGGAAAATCTGTGGGCAATTTTGTGGCCAACCCATCTATGGGAATAAATGGTAAGCAAATTGTTATGCGAAATGAAACTTTAATATACTTTTGGCATAATAAAGTGATGCACACAGGCACATGCCCATGAATACGATACACATAAGAATAACTTTTGTGTTGAATAAATGCGTGCGAGTTCACATGTGTATATAAAAATTAGTTGATTTTTTTTTTTTGGGAAATTTAGTTAACCGACATAGTGTCAAGCCCATAAGCAAAGGTGTGTCTGCAGGATTTATTGAAAAAATATTATAATTCCTTGGCAAATAATTCCTTTTGATATTTTTTTCTTATAAATATGCAAATATTTATGTATGCTCCTAATGGGATTTACTCGTCTTTTTAATACAATTTTTTCTATATTATTTTATTCTGAGACCGTATGGCAATGTATCAATGGAAATAATCCAAATAATTGTCGTACCAACACATACACTACTCACGTGACTCATGAAAATATGTATGTATTTACTAGTGGATATCCAATAGTTAATATGGGAGCTCTATCACCTTACAAGTTACTGTTATAATAAATAAATGCTGCAAATATGTGTGTATGAGTCCATGTCTTCTGTGTTCTCATATGATTAGCCTATAAATATGCAATGATCAAATGGGTTTAAGGCACGCATATGAGTAAGTGTTTTCTACCGCCAAACGCACTCATAAGTATCGCACATACACACATACACTTTTATTTATATATATATATCTTACTATATGTATATATTTATATATACAATCGCATGCTTCGACCTCAACAAAAGCCACAATGCAAATAAATGCTTGCAAATAAAACAAATGGAAATCACATGAAATCAAATATGTTAGTATTGGTTAGGAATACTCACACACATACATGTACATACATCATCACATGCACATGTATGTATATGTGTTCGTGTTTTAGTGTGATTTCAGGCATATAATAAATACCATTGACACTCTATAAATATTTTTTCTAGTTTTATTATAGCCACAGGCTAACTGAGAGGCAACAGCAACAATTGCACAGCGGAGTGGATTAGTGCATGGCGTATCCATGGAAATGTAGCGCAGCTGAGTAAATAAAAAATTGCGAGTGTCAATACGTATCGTTAGCTCGTTTTATGGGGCGTTTAGAAGAGGGGGGGAGTATATAATGGATATAGCTGTATACAGGACTTTAACTAGTTCATTTGGGACTAAAATTAGTTATTAAATAAATGGCATAGAACTACTCTAAGACAGAACTAGGTATGAACTGACTGCTTCTATGATATGCTGTGCTATACTTATGTTCACATATCAATAGGTAGGAGTCAAAAAAAGGTGTTTTAGATCCACTTTATTTGAAAGAAAACTGCTTCCAAACTTGCTTCCTCATCTAGATACTAGTTGGTGTGGTATGTTGATTGGAAACTTTGATCCATCTAGACGAAGAAGTAGCTCATTGTTTCCCTGCCATGCTCAAATATATTTTTTCCAAATGTTGACGACGCTAACATGTATGCGCAGTTTTAATAGGAGGGTGTAATGTGCCACACAGCCAAACGCAACGTTCGCTCTATTGGTCACTCTGTTCGAAAATTTTAAAATAAGCCGAAACAGATGATGTCAAATGGCCGCCTCACTGCTGTAATTTGTCTTCTTTGGTCTAAATTTTATCAGCGATCGTAAAGGATGAGGACTACGGCAATTTTTCGGAAATGATCTATGACTTAAAATGAAAATATACCTCGACAGCTAAAACAGATTGGGCTTCCACAGTACCAGCGTAGCAAAGTGGTGTTCCATCGTTAACGAAATTGTGAGGAAAATTAGTGGAATATCTTAAATTGTAAATCTTATATATATACCAAAGGTTCGCTAATTCAACAATTTAAACATCGCACCCCCGTGAAAGTATGAAGTTGTTGTTGCCAGTATGTGGGTTATTTCATTTGGTAAGATTTGGTACACCTCACCAACCCAAAAATTTTAAAAATTCATATAAAAATTTAAAGGTTCTTATCAATCATAATCCCTATAATATTTTACATTTTTATCTTTAGTGAGGGTATGCTCTCATATACCTAGTAATAGTTTATGCAATATTTTGTTACGTAAGGCATAGTACTTCTCATCGTCCCGTTAATATATAATATATAATGGCGTACATCACCGACCAGAAAATTCTCGCAAAAATTCAATTAAAATAGGAATTCTTTCATAACAGATTTTTTTCTCCAGTATATTTCAATTATTATTACAGCGGGTTCAAAAAATAGGAGAAATTAAATTCATAGAAAAATAAATACTTTCATTTAGGGTCGTTTTTTCGAGTGCCTGTTAATTTGAGAATCACGAAACAGGTAGTTAAATTTAACGATATGATACATTTGTTTTCATTAAACCTACTGTTAAATATTAGATTAAAGGTAGCATTGCTCTAAAAGGGAACAAAGTAATTACAGTAAATTCCCTCAAATTCCTTTTAGCAATATGGCACACAGAGGATTCTTCAAACCATTCCTAAGGCTCGTTAATTTAAAATACCCTATATTTTCCATTAAATTTTCGAAATGCAATACTTCGAAAAAATTACATGAAAAAATTTTAGACTGCAATTTTTTAGACTCTTCTTTTAAATTGCCAAATTCCTAAAAATGTTCGTCGACTTAAATCGTCCCTCAAGGCAATTGTACGCGAACTTCAATTTGTCACTACCAGGTGAAGATTATTTCTACTTTTTACTCCCAGTGCTGTGGTGTATGAAAAAAGTTTTCTGCTTTCATTCGCCGCTTTTATGCGCTGCTAATTGAATATTGTGAGTATTTAGAAAGGCCACTCGTGCATGCAGCTGGTACCCATTAGAGCGCACACATTGACGAACGCACAGACGTACACATACTCACATACATATTCACACATAACTTTTAGTTCTTATCAAAAACGTATTTAATTGTGGCCATTTATTGCGAAACGTTTATGGACATACATATATACGTATGTATTTGAGTAGATATGTAAAGGCACTAAAAGGCTTGGATTGTAGGCTGCTAAATGCCCATTTAATAGTAGGTATTTAGTTGTGCGCAATCCACACACATACATGAATACATATTTATTATGTAAGTACAATTAGTATTTTATATTTAATATATATATATACTCGTATGTATGTGAGTGTGCATGTGTTGCAAAAATTATCGTTAATATTTTTAATTTATCATGCAATTTTTCAAGTTGTAAATATGGGAAATTAAATAAATAATTATCCACATTTGACTTATTGCACTCAAACACAGCAAACATACGTGTATATGTGTATGTATGTATTTGCTGTAAAAATTTATTGCGCTTGTTAGCGTTTTCAATTAAGCCATAATTAATTTGCTTTTAGCACTTGGTAGCTGGTAAACGACAAGTGTTGGTTGCTATTTTTAAGCTCTCGTTCAGATTTCATTTTTAAGTGGCATTTAAATGGTGGATTTATTTTTAGAAATTAACTGTAAAGCAAAAATTCAAAAAAAATATATATAAAAACTATTTGTAATTAAAAATTCTAGCATAAATAATATTTGTCAACAGAATTAAAATTTATGGAATATAATTCAAAAATAATTAAATAATAAAACAATAGTAATAATTGGCGCTCTGTAACCGTTGAAGCGAAAAGTACTCGGAGTGCTTGACATACCCTGCCGAAGGGCAACCACACATAGAACTTAATTTCTAAAATATTGGATTTTGGTAGGACCAGGACCATCTGAATGTTACAAACTTCTAACCACACGTCTACTGGAGTAAAAATAAAAATAATTTAAATAATTGCTACTGACTGCATAGAAAGGTACCACTGTTTTCTTCCACTAGTCGAGTGATGCTATCCTGCGTTATTGAAGGGCTTTATGAAGTTCTGGAAACCTTGAAGTCTCAGATGCATCTCGTGAGAGTCAGCTAAACACTTGAAAATCCGATTGAGTTCTTCAATCGGTGGAGCCCGCAATCTGTCTGCAAATAGCAGCGGCATTAGGCATCCTTCAAATGTATCTCAGCTTTCAAGAAACTTCTCAAAAAAAGTGCCCCGATATGATTAGTAAAAATAGTTATGTGTTCATCATGACAAGGCCAGACGTTATGTTGCGACATGCAGTTTTGATGATGGGGAAAAAATTAACAGAGTTTGTTTGAGATGTTTCGATGCACACACCACCATTTATTTCGGGCTGTCTTTCCTAAAGGTAGAAAATATTACTAGTCGAGGAGCAGTTAAAAATTATTTCACCAAGCTGTACGTCAGTAATGATCCCAGTACAGACTGCAATCCCTTCCAGACCTCGTGAGTTAAAACCTGCAGCTTTTCCTTCGACGCTTTGCCTGTTTCCTGTACTAGTTTGATATGCAGATGGGGAGCGCTTTTGGTAATCTCATCAACTATTTCATTTCCCAGAATATGCTGCAACAGAGTTTATAAGCAAAGGCTTTTCTGCAGTCGCCACATTGAATGCTTTCTTACTTCTAACAATGGGCAAAGGTATGTATTTATATTTTTTAGGACTAATCATCTCAGCTGCCTTTCTAACAGCAACATTTCTCGCCATGTACTCGAAAGATAGCGAACACGAGTCAACAGGTTGCGCCTAGACACCACTCGCACCCGGATCCTTCATCACGACAACGCCTCAAAAGGGATCGCCATGTTGCCGTCTTTTTCGCTCGATATGTCACCCAATGACTTTTTTGTTCCCTAGAACAGTGGTCAAAGGACCCCATTTTGAGTCGATTGAGAAATTCATGCAGCCGTGATGAGGATTCTCGCGGAAATCCCTGTCGATGTGTTCCAGAAATGTCACGGAAAACGCGCTGGTATTGTTATATAGCTCACCAAGGGGACTACTTTGAAGGAGATGGCAGGGTATAATAATAATTTTGAAATATATGGTTTTTATGGAATCAATATCATTACTTTACTGTCACACCTCATAAGTTCCCCTGGAAGTTCCCCTTCTTTCCTAGATAAAGCGTACGTGTATGTAGTCTAGTTGGTATAACGGTTCCTTTGTGTATTGAGCTCTGCCCAAAGATACTTTTAGAGAATACATAAAAGGTTCACCCAACACCGTTGGTGAACGCGCAGCAAAGCTTCCAATGCAATTTCGTACATGTTTTGTGAGTTCATCCTTTATATATAGCTGGCGCTGTGTAATCGATGAAGCGATTTTTTCGGTCCAACTCCTACTCCAATTTGTGGTTTTGCGTCTTTTCCAACAGTAGTTTATACTAAGCCGCCTCCGAACGGCTGATGGTTTTTTACAAGGAGCCTTTAGTTCATGTCCGAAATACAGGGGGAGGGGTGGACATTTCCTGCCGAGGGGCGACCACAATTACAAAATTTAGCATTATTTTTTAGTTAAATTAATTTTCAATAACTTTTGGGTGTGGGCTACCGCGGCCGCCGAATTCATCCTTAACCTGCTTGAATATTCGTTCAGATTGTTGCCGAATATCGTTGAATATTTCCTTGAATTATGGACACTCTGCGGATAGCTTTTTCATATCTAAATATTGAAGTCAAATGTAATGAGCCTGGCCATTTGAGATACCTAATTCCTCGGCCTCTCCCGGCCTTATCCCTCTCCGCTCGTCCAGTGTCCTTCTATTCATAGACGAAGTTCGTCTCTTTCAGCGAACTCTAGATTCAGCATGAGTTTCGCTGCCATAACCTCAACAGAATCCAGTAAACAAATTCATAATCATTCACATTTATGACGATAAGTTCTAAAAGTGCTTCTTATGCAAAAACAAACATTAAATTCAGCATGAGAAATTCATTTTTTAATATAAAATTTTTACAAAATGAAGGTTTATTTTATATTTGTTTTAAACATGCAACGCATAACGCATATCCTTCAAATATCCTGGCGCTCTGATAACACAAACAAACTGACATAATCAGCAAAGCACAAAAAGCTGTTAAACTTTCGAACTCTTTTAAGCGTTTAAACGTCTGCAAATATCTTTATATTTACGCATGTACATATTTGCACCACTTTGATGAGAACTGTTAAAATTTAGGAAAAAATAAATCATTCGCACTTAACCAATATTGACTTGTTGTTCAATGAGAGCTTGTTTGCTCAGTGTAATATCCGCAAGCGTTTGATTGTTTATTTGTTCACGCTTGTTGTATCATTGCTTGTTTTCAAACGCATTCGCATGCAGAACGCAGCAGCGATGAGTGTATATTTACACATACACGTAAGTCTGTGTGTGTGTATGTATGTATGTTGTAAATTAAAAATTTGTACTACGCGTACAAACAGTATTCGATTTATTTAGCTGCTCCGATTAGTCAAGAAAAGAAGAAGAGATAGTTAGAAAAAGAAAAAGAGAAAGCTGATATTGCATTAAAAGCTGCAAAGAAAATACCAAATGAAAATATAAAATCAACACAAATACACACAACAACAAAAGAAACAGTCGAACCAATCGCCCTCCACAAGCGGTAGTATAATATCCTGCGGACAAGTTCGGACAAATTGCACTTACGCCCTCGGCGTTTGCAGCAGACTTGCCAGAAACAACATTGCCTGAGTAGCAAGTACAAACCAATGAAGCCAGCACCAGTACAGCCGGATGTCCCGGAGTGGTGTGGTGCGCTCGTTAAAGGGCAACGGTTGAGGAAATTGCTAACACTTTACGCTGTAACAAGATGGAAGAAGAACAAGCGAAATGATAAATGAAAATAAAGAAATATAAACAAAGAAAAATGTCGCAGATATGATACCCTGCCAGCAGCTGATTAGGAAAATCTAGCGATCAGTACCAAGAGCACTTGGAATTTCAACAATCCATCGTTTGGCAGTCAAGCGTCCGATTTTCACACAACTTTTTTTTTTTTATTTTTCATACTAATAATATTATAGTATATATTTTGTTCTACCTTATTTTATTTTATTTTATTCTATTTATTTCATTTTGATTCTATTCGATTTAACTTATTTTTTTCATTTTTTAATTTTTTTTTAAATTAATTTATATCATTTTATTTTATAAACTTTCATTTTACTTTATCTTATTTTACCTTTATTTCATTTGATGTAATTTGAGTTTATTTTTTTAAAAATTTTTCATTTCATTTTATTTTATTTTATTTTGTTTCATTTTATTTTATTTTATTTTATTTTATTTTATTTTATTTTATCCTATATTATTTTATTTTAATTGTTGTTTGGTTTTGATTTATTTCATATATTTTAATTTATTTTATTTTTATTTTAATTTATTTTGATTTATTTTATTTTGCTTTATGTTACTTTCTTTTATTTTATTTCATTTTGCTTATTTTATTTTGTCTTCTTTTGTCTTATTTTATTTTATTTAGTATTTTCTATTTTAATGTTGTCTAATATTTTTCACTAAGTTCATGAGAGGCATAAAAGTGAAAGATGAAATTATTTTAGCCTTGTTGTTTTTCTCTTTCATCCTCTGTCTTCTCTCCTACTGTTAAATTTATTTTATTCAATGCTTGCTTTTATTTGAACATACTTTTTCTTATTTGTATGTCCTTCGAACTCTACTTCTTTATCACCTTTCTTTGCCACATTCATTTAGTAACATATTGGGAAAAGCAGCAAAGTTTGTAGAAACAGCTATAACAACAACAACTATTTAGTTTACTTCAACTAACAACGAACTTAGTAATGCATTTTGTTGATTTTAATTTCAGTGCAAAATAAATAAATCCATCAGGATAAACGAATGAAACGAAATGACTTGAGCAAATTTACACTCAAACATTCTACATACACGTAGGAACACACAGTCATGTGAGCACAAATATAAATAGCAGATGAGTGATTTCATGGCAAACAGAAGAGCATCTAAAGCGAGCAACATAATTTATGGACATATATATTAAACATACACTACACATATCCATTCTCATGTTCACGTGAATTAGAAATGTTATTATTGCAGAATTAATGCACTCAAAACCCTAATTACTCAGCTAGTGAAGTGCAGAAGTTGACTTAGAAACTGAATCTCGATGCGAAAATCTGAAGTTTGGCCAATGGGAGAATTGTCAAATGTGTAAATGCAATGGCATCGTAAGCTGCATAACATTTTTATGATCCATATTTGGTTTTAACTCATGATTTATTAACATTAAGCTTCACAAATAACAAGTAAAAATAAAGCTGCTCTTTTGAACTTCTTATCTTGACCCAAAATGGAAAAATAAAGAAGTTCGCATAAGATTGTTGTTGTAGAAATAAAGACAAATAAATATAAGTACCTTTTCTTTTCCGAAAACATATTTAAAAAATTGCAAAAACTCTAGAAGATTTTCACATCACTGTAGGTTTGTTTGGTACTGCCACGCTCAATTCTCTTTTGAGTAGTTCTGGGAGTGATTTAGTAGTTTGCTTCCATAAAAGCATACTTCAAACCTCTTCTTATAGTTGTTCAGTCTGACGTTATCATTTGCATGAGAAAAACTCTTGGACAATCGGCTTCAAAGCCTATAGCCAAGCTTTTTTCTGCATATATGTCTCTGTTCATTTGATGTGACTTCAAATTCAACTTTGAGACTTTCCTGTGCATATATATACGTAGTTATTTTCTGAGGGCCTCTTAATAATTATTCCACTAATGAGATATATAAAAATAGTCTGAAAGTCGTAGGGTTAAACAAAAATTCTTAATGATTTTTGCCCAAAATTGGCATTGCTCATCAACGGAATCTCCATCAAGAGCTGAACATTGCACAGGAAAGAACTTGGAATCACTTGAAAGAGCTGGACACACAAAGAAGCTCTAAAGCTAGGACAAAAATTATATCTGCAAATCGCTCCTGAATCATAAGTCATCGGATGGTGATTGGTATCAGTTAATCAATTATATCAATGCCAAACGAAAACGGTTGTGGTTGAATGGCAGTGAGCTGACACAAATGGTCTCCACAGTGAGCTGCCCCCCTACGACCAAACCTTTAATTCCGAACTGTACCGCAACAATTTGACCATCTGAAGGAAACAAACGCCCAGTAGCGCCAAACTTGGGTCAAGAGGATGGGAATTTTGTTACGTTAAGAAAACACAAGACATCACACATCGACTTTGACGCTCCAGAAGCTGCGAGAGCTTAGTTGGGAGGTTGCTATGCATCCATCTTACATTCCGGACAAAGCACCAAGTGTTTGCCATCTATTCCAATCTATTAGCCAATCCAATTTGGCTAGTAAGGAATCGGATTCAAGAGAAATCTATGAAAATCGATGGTTCCATTGTTTTGCTAACAGCAACAAGGGTTTTTGTACGAGAGAGGCAGAATGTTATTGCCTACAAACCGACGACCGTTACCGAGCAAAACGGGGAATAATTGAAATCAGATAATTCTAACTATGGTAAATAAAACCTGCAATTTATTCCAAAAATAATGGATAACTTTTTACTAGAACTATGTATGTATATCTATATGTACTTTATGCACAATAAAATCACTTTCAGCGGCACTAACTTTCACCCTCCATTTTACACTAACCAAATTCACTCAAAATGATTCTCCAAAACTGCACATATATATATATTTATTGAATAGTTAAATGAATAGAGAAACCTGAAATATACCACCAACAACCATTCAACCAAACCATAGTGACCGAACGGCACTCGTGTGGCGTGAAGTTATTGAAAACTTGCCATTAATAGAATGCAGAGTTGCCCGTCCAGTCTACCTAAAAACTGTTGGAAAATATGTAGTAAAATATCACAGTAGGGTGAAGCAGTGGATTGGGGGCGAGCAAATAATGGAAAATTTTAGTTCACAACGAAATTTCGCCTTCAAACTTTTAATTTCGCGAAGCACACAAAAACTACTCGCTTGCACAGCCACACATATATTTTCCTTATA